ATTTACATATACAATTACCAATGATGACACACAGGTTTAATTAAGCCCATCAGTTTCAAGCAGCTTTGCTCAAATCCCATCCAGTCTGTTCCACAAGGAACAACACATACACAACACAAAAATAAAATATACCTGAAATATATACCTAAATATATATATATGTGTAGATATATTTATGTATGTATACTGTATATATGTATATATGCATGTATATACATATACATATATGTATGTATAACCAAGCAATTTAATATTACATGTAACAAAAATACAAGTTGTGAAATAGAAGCATGATGAATTAGGAAGTGATGTTCATGACCCGATCATGAAGCGTCAACACAGAGTCATGACTTTGAAAATCAGTTTCTCAAAGTTTTTCAAATCTTAGAACTTCACACAGTTAAGAAACCTGGATACATGGAGAACAATGTAAGAGAGAGCGTCTGTTCATAAATCTGAATTTTTATTAAAAGAAAAAAATACAAGTTTGTCTAAAAGACAGGGTTTTTTTTTCCTCCCTGTTTAAGAAATGAAACACACGCTGATGGAAGCTAGACACTCAATAAGGCCAACTGATTATATATTAATGGTTGAGGCTGTCATCTTTTGTGCACAGCCTGGCATAATTGAAATACTGGGCTTTTAAATTCTCATCACTTGTCCAAGAAAATGTTCGTCTCACGCCTGGCTCATTATGGGCTGCATCACCCACAGTATACAGATATGAACAAATGACCTGCCTGACATTAACTCGGAGTTCTGTTGCAGGAAAAGGATGATTTACTTCTAATAAAAACCCCCCATTGTTTTTCAGTTTCAGTGTTTAACAGCACCTAAAATGATGTCTCCTTCAAACCTTTCAAATTACAGCTCTCATTTCTTCTTTAAAATAATTAGAGGCTGTGTCCCTCCCCTTAGTTAATGCCTTCGCTGGAACGCATTTAGTGTCGCTTCTGTGTAAATGCATCGTTTGATTCTGAGAAGTGGATGTGAGGGCTCGCTAACAATATCCATGGAGTGTGTCCGTCGTACAGTGCTGCCTGCCAAAGCCTTAACGTTAACAAGGGTTTGTTACAAGAGCACTAATGATTTGGACATTATAGAATAGGTCAGCTCCCGGTCTAAGAGAGCTACACTGTTAGGTTGTTGTCAAGATGGACCGCTAAAGGGTTTGTGCTTGTTTTTTTTAAATGAGCTGTCTCCGCCTGCACATCCCTCTGGCAAATGCTAGATCTGTTTACTGCTGATAATCTAATCAGATTCAAATATCGCTCATCATCCCGTCTCCCTCTTTCTCCATCTCTTTGATTGATCATCACTGTATCTAATAAACGCAAATCTCAGCAATCAACTCTCTTGTCTGCAGGGCTGAAGATCCGGGAGGTGATGATCAACGTGTCACGTCAGCAGGTGGAGGACTTTCATGGCCCGGAGGATTACTGGTGTCTCTGTGTCGCCTGGAGCCACCTGGGAACCTCCAAGAGCCGCAAGGCATCTGTTCGGATCGCCTGTAAGAATCTGTGTGCCTTTTGATACCAGACTGACCTTATTGTTTCTAAAAAGCTTGCTGTTCTTCTGACGTGGTTTGCTAGTTGTGTGCCCCTACATGTTTGCATGGGAACGGCAGGTCACGTCCTCTCACATTTAGGGTTTGGTTACTTGGTGTTGTTGTGCTTTTTTTTTTTTGGCTTTTTTTTTAATGCAGCCTGTTTATTTCCTTTCACAGATCTGAGAAAGAATTTTGAGCAGGACCCCCAAGGCACTGAGGTGCCTCTGAATGGCATGATTGTGTTGCACTGTCGTCCCCCAGAGGGAGTGCCTGTGGCTGAGGTGAGGGCTTCTTACACTTCGAACAAGCAACGTTTTCTCCTGTGTCGCCTGCAAAGGCATAATCATCTGTCTGGTTTACTGACAGAATAAATCGGATTTCATGACACAATGTTCTGCGGCTCTCCAGCCATTGCATATCAAACATATTTATGCACTTTTTCCCTCCTCGGTGTTGTATAAAGCTGTAGACACCTTTCATTTGTATCTGGGGCTCAGTAATGTTTGGTAAATACAGAAGAAAATCTTTTGAAGATGCATAAATACAGGTGTACTACAGAACTAAAAGAGACTTCACCACTTGTTTAGTATTTCACAGAGATAAAGCTGTACCCTGTGAAAAGCCACAGCTCAAAATAAGTCAAAACGAGTTCAATTTATTTATGGCTTTTCAAATTTTATAGACTGCACTGAAATGCGAGCTGCAAATTGTCCTTGTCCTCACCAGGCAAAGTTACTCCACGGAGGGACATAGAGACTGGTTTATCTTTGGTTCTCCAGGTCTAGTAGCTTTTCAAGAACGTGGATCGACTCCTTGGAGTTCTTTCTTGTAGCGTCGGTGCCAGGATTTGGCAACAATGTTTGCTAGCAGCATGATCCACTGAACAATGGTATATGGTCACAACGATGCACTAGAACTTTATATATCTATATATATAGATATGGATATCCAGGACATTAGTTTGCTTTTCTAATCAACGTCAGTAGAATTAGTGACTTTGTGAGTGTTGTCATCTCTGACAACACCCTAGGTTTGTTTTGACACCTGCTGCTTTTTATATCAAGGCAGTAATGTTTTTCGACGATTCTCCTTCACTCCACTGTTCCCTTGGAAAATGACACAAACCTCCATGACTAATTAAGATTTGATGCATTAATGCGACTCTATTCCACTGCGTGTTCATTCACGCTCATTAAGATTCTCTCCGCCCGTGGTTTGTCTGATGACGTAGTAGACATTTTAATGTTTGCTCTAAATTTATTATGTGGCTCTCGTGGTCCGTCGTGGTGGGTGGTATGTAGAGCACATACTACTCAACATGACAGACCATGATGCCTGCAGATGCTGTGAATTTCATTTGGAGTCTAAAAAGATCCTCCAACACCACAGCTCAAGATCCTTTAAATGCCAATTAGGATAGAATAGAATGGAAGAGTCTTTTATGTCAGTGCAAGAAAAAAACAGCAGTCCAGTGAAACAGAATCATGTTAGCGTTTTTAGCTTAGAAGCTAAAAATAAGACATCATAATAATAATATCAGAAAACTTCGATAACTTGTAAATACCTAACATTTGTAATCTAGTGATCCCAACACCAGTATTTTAAAGACTGAATTTAAAATAATTAGAATCAAACTTTGAAGTAGTCTAATGATCAGGATGAGCTAGCTTCAGTGCAGTGGTGTAGCAGCTAGCCTGGGTAGCCGTGAAACTTACGAGCAAGACAGAAGTTTATTTTTATCGCACATTTTAATGGAAAAAGAATTGTATTGTAATCTTACTGTTGTAGGAGCTTTAAAAAAAAGTAAACAGCAATGTTTTTTATTTACTTTTTTTTGGTGCCTTCATTTAGTTTTTGTCAAATACAGAAAACATTACTTAGGAATTTACTGAATAATTAAAAAAAATCAATTCTCTGAAAAACTTTTTTTTATTATTTGTTCAAAATGTTTTCTTCAGGCAGAATATTCAAATCACCACTACAATTACTGAGGTACATTGTTAATAATGAAAGGGTTTTTCTATTTAATGTTTTCTGTGGTCAAACTAAAAGATTGAATATTAATGACTTTTTTTATTTACCACATTTGTAATGAAATTCATCATCATTATTTAATACAAAAAAAAAAAGAAAAAAAATCTACCTCTACTTCTAGTGAGATATCTCTACTATGATCTTAAGGAATAAAACACCATAGATATCTGGAGCACTGACTGTGATACAGCATCACTAGTGACGGTTCACAGCCTTAAGTCATGGATTATACATGCTTTGAGCAAATTGTTCACAGTTTAATTCCATAGTAATCCCTCAAAACTACAATTTACAGTAATCTAGAGACAAGGTTAGGATTTAGACCTTGTGTAAATGTATTTAAAAGGTTTGTTTTTTTCACAGATTTGTGTCTATTAAAGTTGACTTGTATTTAAAAGGTTTGTTTTTTTCACAGGTTTGTGTCTATTAAAGTTGACTTAGTCCAAGGTGTGTGTGTGTGTGTGCGTGTGCGCGTGTGTGAGATGAATCATTCAGCTCACTCAAATGGAGGTCTGGTGTACCACCAGTCCCTGATGCATTGTGGTCATCAAATAGGCAACTTGTCATGCATGCATTCATGTAGCCCTGGCTAACAAAGAGAAGGTGATAGTAAATAATGCAGAGACAAATCCAGCTCTCCTCCTTTAGCCTCACAACTGGGGAATGAAAATCAGTCTTGAAGGAGGAGAAATTAAGTGAAACATTTCTTCCCCTCGTTAATTTTGGCATTCATAGGGCGTTTTTTGTAAGCCACGGGGTAAAATTTCTCTCTGAAAAAAAAAAGTCACAGCTCATCTACAGTTTAAAGGATTTTTCAGGAATTGAGGTCACCAGGCAGCCTGATCTGTTGAACTCAATTTGTGGGGGAAAAAAAAAAGTTGAGTTATTTTTGGTGCTTGGATTAGCCACAGATCCTAATGAAAATGATAAGTGATCTTGACAAACTGCACACTGTTTCCTTTTACTGGGCTGAGAGTTATGTTCACTTGACACTATAAAAAAAATAAGGAAACGACTTCCAACTTTTCATTCTGTTTAATGTCACAAACACTGCGCATCCACAGCTTTTATGGCTTCAAATCCACTTATGGTGCTGCTCTGCTCATGTTCTCAGACACAGCACTAACGGCGGGGGAGAGCGGAGAACTTTATCCGCATCTCGCTGTAACTAAGCCACCAGGGAGTTTACTGGACTGCTGTGTAGGATGTTAATGAAAATCACAGAGTGCCATATTATCTGTCCCCACAGTGACAGAGGCAATAATCTGTTCACATTGTAAGCCAAACTGCAGAGAGACACAGCTTCAGCCCGCTTCTTTAATTGGGTTGCATGTGGAGATGCCCAAATCTTCTCAAATGGACTAAAATTATTGCATTACTGGCTGCGACAACAGGAAAAAAAGTCAGATGAGTAAAATTCCAGGGCTTAAAATGGACATGCTGAAAATCAGGCGGAAAAACCCAACAGGGAGCCATCAGATGCTAAAGTGTTTTTTAGACAACTGCTCGGAAAATTGGTTTAGGGTATTTTGGGAAGTTTGCTGGTCACAGATGGAGGAAGCAGGAACAGATTTTCTGGGTCAGATGCACTGACGACACCGAGGGAATTTCTGCAACATTTAGATGTGGAGTGGACGGTCATGTCCGTGTCCGGCATGCAAGAGGCTCAGCGCTTTATCTGTGAAATTACACTGCTGTGCTTTCTCATGGGCTTATTGGGACGAGTCACAGAAATGTGAGTATGAGGCAGACTGTCCAGAGGGATGTTGGCCTCCTGACGTACAGGAGACTGGACTTCAGTGCACATGTGAAAACTGCTTCAGAGAAATACCTGCCTTCGATTTGTGAGGATCATGAGCAAAAAAAAAAAAAAAACCAACAACTTAGCAGGTCACAGATGCAATGTAAGCCTTTCAAAAAGCATGCGATCTATAAATCAATTGACCTCTTAGGTGACACCAAAGGGCAGCGGGGATCGGTCTGATGGGTCAGTTGTCTCAAGTGTCCCTGCAGTTTTAGGATTTTTTAAATGATCTGAACAGTGAAGTCCACCTTCCGGCGAACATCCCCAGGGTTATGGATTTGCTGTGATGTAAATGTGACATAAAAGTGTCCCTGCGTCTTATTGGTGTAATTAGGCCATGGATTTATTTAGTCTTCTTCTACTGCTTGATCCTGTGAAGAGGTTACAGTGGGGGACGGGGAGGAGGAGGGGTGAAGCCCGAGGCCGTCCTTGATGCAGCAAGGACACACCGGTGGTCAAGTAACACCTGCCTCCAGAAGATGCTGCCCCCAGGTGTGGAGGGTGCTCATTTGTTTAATGTGGTTTTATGGCAGTCACCGTGCACTGAGGGACGGCCAGAGGAATGTGTAGAGCATACGTGTCAAACTCAAGGCCCGGGGACCAAATACAGCCCGCTCAGCCGTTTTGTGTGGCCTACGGGAGCTTAAAAAGCATTTAGTAAAGTCCATGCAGCAGAGTTTCTGAACCTAAGTAATTAAAAGGTTTTTTTATTACACAGAAATGAACAATATTAGTAGCTTGAATAAATAGTAATCAATTGCAGAAACAGGTATTAGTCTGTTATGGAATAGTTACATCTATACCAGCAGTCCCTGACCTTTTTTTGTTCCGAGGACTGGTCAGCCAGTACCACCCCTTTGTATCAGAGTCTGAATCTTTTATTTTAAAATATCGGCACATTATCTTTAAATAAGTAAATTAGTAAAAATTAAGTACATTTTTTCACTGTGTCCCACTGCGGCCCAGTGCAAAATGACCTTTGGACTGGTACTGGTCCACGGACCGGGGGGTGGGGTCCCCTGATCTATACAGTCTTCCATTTACAACCAGCCCAGGGGAACATGAGATGTGAAAATGAGTGTGACACCCCCCTGGTGTAGAGGGGGTGCTGTTGTCGTCGAACCCTCCCCCCTCAGTCTGACACTCCGGCGAACTTCATTTCAAACGCTTTAATTCCTACAAAGGTGTCGTATTTAATGAACAGAGGATATAGAAAATAATCAGTACAATTCCCCCACAGTGGGACAAAGAAAGAACATACTGTAACTGTCTCCACAAATGACTTCATCTGTTCCTTCTGAGAACAGAACTCTAATCTTCACACCTATTATTCCAGTGGTTTGCGTCTGTTACATTCAAGATCATTTACGATTTTCAACATTAATCTGAGTTTTGTTTTTCGCTCTTCCCTTATTCCTGCAAAAGCTTGGGGGACACGGCGCC